AGCCATTTGGGCTGAAGGTGCTGCTGGCTTCCCCCCCTCGCCCCCTCCCCGGGCCGGCAGCGTACCCCCTGAGACGCTGCGAACAAGCTGCAACGTCGCGAAACATCGCGATTGGAGCCCCAGAACCCACCTTGCTGCGGCATTTGTTTCGGCCAGATCGATCCGTGGTGATGCCAGGGCCTGGGGCCAGGCGAAAGTGTAAGGCGCGAGAACATCCCAGACATGCTATGCCGTGTTTTTTCAATTCGCGGTCCCTGGAAGCCCCGACCCTTTCCCCAGGGCCATTCTCATCCCGAGTAGTTTTTGGCGGTCTCCGGGCTCGCTGAGCGCCCCCAGAGGCCGAACATGGAGAAACACGTTCGTCCTGATGTTTGTTACGGCGCGAGCATGTCTGGTCGGCGCCGCCTAGATATAAGTACTACGCGTGCGTCGCCCCAAAGGGGCGACGCTCGCGCCGAGAAATCTTGTCATATAAGCTCCGTGGCGGGCGCTTGCTGGCCATGACGCTCGGGAAATGGCACATTACAAAAAAGCTATACTAGATGTTCGGGTCGGACGCGCGCGTCTGAGGAGGACACGTAGTGCCAGTATGTATTTCTTCACGAGGAATTCCTGGAGACCTCGCGCGGCGCGCAAGAGTTATAACATCTAGTCCACACGTCCGCCGCGTCAGATATGGGACAACGTTCGCACGGCGAGGTCCGGCGCGAGTCCGACGTAGATCCGACGAACCCGACGTACATCCGACGTGGATCCGACGTAAGTTGGGTCTCAAGTTGCAGCGCGAGGACTCCAGGATTTTCTTCCTAATTCGGCGGCGAGCGAGGGGGGAAATGAGAAAAAGGCCTTCTCAGAAGGCGGCTGGGCTTCTCAGAAACCCTCGCGCCTTCTGAGAAGTTCTCTGGGTCTTCTGGGAAGACTCAGGCAACTTCTCAGAAGGCCGGGGACTTCCGAGCCTTCTGTGAAGGCCTAGTTACCCTTTTTCACTTCCCCCCCAGGCCCGTCGCCGAGTAAAAGGACCCGTAACCCTTTAGGAGGGGAACTTATCCGTAAGGGCTTCGCCCCCTGCCGCCGGCCCCCTCTCTATCATAATGCGATATAACAGAGTCGCGTCGGTGCGTCTCGGCGCTGCCTTTGCGCATCTGGGAACACCACGCGGGGGCGGATAGGAATCATCAGCGTTGGCGTTATCGAAGACGCCTACGGCGAATCACCGCCACCCCCTGCCTTTGCGGAAGCGCCTGCGTGGCCGAAAGTTGGGTTTGAGCTTGGCGAAGCTATCGGGCCACGCGTTCCCCGAGTGGGTTTCGAAAGCCTTCGGGGAACACCGAGTCGGGCGAGCTATCGGACCAGGTGGTTTCCGAGCTTTCGGGCCTTCTGGAGGACGTCTTGGAGGGCTCTTGGGCCGTCTTGCAGGCCTCTTGGGGGCCTTTTGGGCAGTCTAAGGCTTCCTTCATGCCATCTAGGGCCGTCTTGGGTGCATCTTGAGGCCATCTTGGCCGTCTTGGAGGCCTTCTTGGCCGTCTTGGAGGCATCTTGGAGGACATCTTGGCCGTCTTGGGGGCCTCCTGGGCCGTCTTGGGGTCTTGTTGGGGCCCTTTGGGGGGCCTCTTGGGCTGTCATGGGGCCATCTTGGAGGCCTCTTGGGCGCTCTTGGGTCGATGTTGGGGGCCTCTTGGGCCGTCTTGGGTCGTCTGAGAGGTTTCTTGTGCGAACTTGGAGAGACCATCTTGGGCCATCTTGGCCATCTTGGAAGCCATCTTGGAGCCATCTGGAGCAGGAAAAGCTTTTGGAACCACCCTTTCCGGACCATTCCCGGACCCCGGCGGGCGGGGCCGAAACCCTAGGGGGAGTTCTTTCTGGGAAAAGAGCCAAAACCAAAAGCGAAAGGATTCAGCACGCCGGGCACCCCCGTTATGAATCAAGAGGCGGCGGCCCAGGGGGCGTTCTGAAAGAACCATAAGCGAAAGGATTTAGCACGCCAGGCACCCCTGCGGCAAGCCAACACGGGGGGCGGCGGATCGAAGACGCCTACGGCGAATCACCGCCGCCCCCTGCCTTTTTGGAAGCGCCTCTGTGGCCGACAGCTGGGCCAGAGCTTGGCCAAGCTATTGGGCCAGTTGTTCCCCGAGTCGGTTTGGAAAGACTTCGGGGAACGCGTGGGGGAGCAAGAAGAGGCGGAGGGGGAGGATCAGGAAAAACGAGGAGGAGGAGGAGGACGAGGAGGAGGAGGAGGTCTCTTGGGCGCCTCTTGGGGCACTCTTGGGGCCTCCTGGGAGTTTCCTGGGGGCCTCTTGGAGGGTTTGGGGGGGCCTTTGAGGGCTTCTTGGGGGCTTCTTGGGGGCCTCTTTGGCTGTCTTAGGGCGTTCCTGGCTTGTCTGACGCTGTCGGAAGCCGTCTTGGGGGCCTGTCTGGGCCGTCTTGGGGGCCTCTTGGGGCATATCGGGGGTTCTTAGAGGCCATCTTGGGCGTCTTGGAGGACCCTTGGGCCGTTTTGGGGCTCACTTGGGGCCATCTTGGGGGCCTTTTGGGCCGTCACGCGGCCATCTTGGAGGCCTCGTGGACGATCTCGGGGCCTCTTGCGCTGTCTTGAGCCGTCGGAATGCCGAGAAGAAGCAAATACCAAAATCCTTCAAAAACCTTAGGACAATCAATGATTTTGGCCTCTTCGTGCCCTCCTGGAAGACCTCCTGGACGTCTTTTGGGCCGTCTTGGAGGCCTCCTGGGGGCCCCTTGGGCTGTCTTGGGCCATGTTGAGGCCATCTTAGGCCGTCTTGGGTGCAACTTGGGCAGTCTTGGAGGCATCTTGGGGCCATCTTAGCCGTCTTGGAGGCCATTCTGGCCGCCTTGGACGCCTCTTGGGCCCTCTTGGGGCCGTCTTGGGGGCCTCTTGGGTCGTCATGGGGTCATCTTGGAGGCCTCGTGGGCGATCTTACGGGGGCTTCTTGGGCTGTCGTGAGCCGTCGGAATGCCGAAAAGAAGCAAATGCAAACATCCTTCAACAACCTAAGGACAATCGATGATTGAGGCCTCTTCGGGCCCTCGTTGAGGACCTCTTGGAGGCCTCTTGGGCCGTCTTGGAGGCCTCTTTGGGGCCCCTTGGGCTGTCTTGGGCCATCTTGAGGCCATCGTAGGCCGTCTTGGGTGCATCTTGGGCCGTCTTGGAGGCGTCTTGGGGCCGTCTTAGCTGTCTTGGAGGCCATCTTGGGCGTCTTGGAGGCCTCCCGGGCGGTCTTGGGGCCCTCTTGGGAGCATCTTGGGTGCCTCTTGGGCCGTCATGGGGCCATCTTGGAGGCCTCGTGGGCGATCTTGGGGCGATCTTGGATGCCTCCTGGGCCGTCTTGGGCCGTAGAAAAGCCGAAAAGGCGCAAATACCAAAATCCTGCAAAAACCTTAGGACAATCAATGATTTTGGCCTCTTCGTGCCCTCCTGGAAGACCTCCTGGACGTCTTTTGGGCCGTCTTGGAGGCCTCTTGAGGGCCCCTTGGGCTGTCTTGGGCCATGTTGAGGCTATCTCAGGCCGTCTTGGGTGCAACTTGGGCCGTCTTGGAGGCATCTTGGGGCCATCTTAGCCGTCTTGGAGGCCATTTTGGTCGTCTTGGACGCCTCTTGGGCCCTCTTGGGGCCGTCTTGGGGGCCTCTTGGGTCGTCATGGGGTCATCTTGGAGGCCTCGTGGGCGATCTTGGGGGCTTCTTGGGCTGTCGTGAGCCGTCGGAATGCCGAAAAGAAGCAAATGCAAAATTCCTTCAACAATCTAAGGACAATCAAAGATTGAGGCCTCTTCGGGCCCTCGTTGAGGACCTCTTGGAGGCCTCTTGGGCCGTCTTGGAGGCCTCTTTGGGGCCCCTTGGGCTGTCTTGGGCCATCTTGAGGCCATCTTAGGCCGTCTTGGGTGCATCTTGGGCCGTCTTGGAGGCCTCTCGGGCGGTCTTGGGGCCCTCTTGGGAGAATCTTGGGAGCCTCTTGGGTCGTCATGGGGCCATCTTGGAGGCCTCGTGGGCGATCTTGGGGACTTCTTGGGCCGTCTTGGGCCGTAGGAAAGCCGAAAAGGCGCAAATACCAAAATTATTTCAAAAACCTTAGGACAATCAATGATTTTAACCTCTTCGTGCCCTCCTGGAAGACCTCTTGGACGCCCTCTGGGCCGTCTTGGAGGCCTCTTGGGGGCCTCTCGGGCTGTCTTAGGCCATCCGGAGGCCATCTCAGGCCGTCTTGGGTGCATCTTGGGCCGTCTTGGAGGCATCTTGGGGCCATCTTTGCCGTCTTGGAGGCCATCTTTTGCGTCTTGGAGGCCCTTGGGCCGTCTTGGATCCGTCTGGACAGGAACAACCCTCTGGAGCCGGGTCTGGGCACTCTTTCCGGGACCTGGGCGGGACGCGCCGGGGGCCCAGGGGGACGTTCTTTGGGAAAAAGAACCAAAACCGAGAGGGTTCAGCACGCCAGGCACCCCTGCGATGAATCGACAGGGTGCGGCGGATCGAAGACGCCTACGGCGAATCACCGCCGCCGCCCGCCTTTTTGGAAGCGCCTATGTGGCCGCACGTTGAGGCCAGGCTTGCCAAGCTATCGGACCATGTATTCCCGGAATCGGTTCGGAAAGCTTTCGGGGAACACGGTGGGGGAGGCCAGGGCGACTTGGCGCTTCTTGGGGTGCTCTTGGGCCGTCTTGGAGGCCATCTTGAGCGTCCTGGAGGCCTCTCGGGCCGTCCTGGGGGCCTCTTGGGGCCGTCTGGCGGGCCTCCTGGGCCGTCTTGGGGGCCGTGCTGGAGACCTCTTGGGCGATCTTTGGGGGCCTCTTGGGCCGTCTCGGGCCGTCGGAAGGCCGTCCGACCCTGGGCCCCGGGCCCCTGGCCCGTGGGGGGGGGCCTCTCTGGGCCGACTTGGGGCCCTCTTGGGGTGCTCCAGGGCCGTCTTGGAGGCCATCTTGGGCGTCTTGGAGGCCTCCTGGGGCCGTCTTGGGGGGCCCCTTGGGGCCGTCTTGGGGGCCTCTTGGGCCGTTCTGGGGCCACACTGGAGAGCTCTTGGGCGATCTTTGGGCGATCTTTGGGGGCCTCTTGGGCCGTCTCGGGCCGTCGGAAGGCCGAAAAGGGGCACATGTGAAAATCCTCCAAAAACATGCGGACAAGCACTGTTTTTGGTCTTTTCTGGCCTTCCTGGAGGCCCTCTTGGAGGCCTCTTAGGCATTCTTGGGCCAGCTTCGAGCCAACTTCGGCTATCTTGGTGGGTTCCTGGCCCGTCTGACGCCGTCGGGAGCCGTCTCTGGGGCCTCTCTGAACTGGCTTTGGGCCCTCTTGGGGCGATTCGGGGCCGTCTTGGAGGCCATCTTGGGCGTCTTGGAGGCCTCTGGGCCTGTCTTGGGGCCCTCTTGGGGCCGTCTTGGGGCCGTCTTGGGGCCCTCTTGGGGCCGTCTTGGGGCCATCTTGGAGGCCTCGTGGTTGATCTTCGGGCGATCTTTGGGGCCTCTTGGGCCGTCTTGAGCCGTCGGAAGGCAGAAAATAAGAAAATGTCAAAATCCTTCAAAACACTAGGGAACATCAATTATGTTGGCCTCTTCGGGCCCTCCTTGAGGACCTCTTGGAGGCCTCTTGGGTCGTCGTCTTGGGCCGTCTTGGAGGCCTCTTGGGCGAACGTGGAGGTGTCTTGGACTCTTTTGGGCCGTCTTGGAGGCCGTCTTGGGCCATCTTGGGCGGACTTGGAGGCCATCTTGGACCATCTCGGAGGCTATCTTGGGCCAACGTGGCCATTTTGGAGGCCATCTTGGGCCATCTTGAGCCAAACATTTGGGAATTGTGCTCCTTGAGGTCCTTTCCGGGTGGCCGGCGGGACGGGCCGAAGCCCCAGGGGGAGTTCTTTTGGGAAAGAACCAAAACCAATACCGAGAGGGTTCAGCACGCCAGTCACCCCTGCGATGGATCGACAGGGGGTGGCGGATCGAAGACGCCTACGGCGAATCACCGCCGCCGCCTGCCTTTTTGGAAGCGCCTATGTGGCCGAACGTTGAGGCCAGACCTGCCAAGCTATCGGACCATGTATTCCCCGAATCGGTTTGGAAAGCTTTCGGGGAACACGTGGGCATCTTGAAGGTCATCTTGGCCGTCTGGAGGCCATTTTCACCCGTTCGGGCCTTCTTGGAGGACGGCTTGGAGGGCTCTTGGGCCGTCTTGGAGGCCATCTTGAGCGTCTTGGAGGCCTCTTGGGCCGTCTTGGGGGCCTCTTGGGGCCGTCTTGGGCCTCTTGGGCGATGTTTGGGGGTACTCGGGCCGTCTCGGGCCGTCGGAAGGCCGAACAAAAAGCAAATGCCACAATCCTTCAAAAACTCATGGGAAATCGGTTTTGGCCTTTTCGGGCCTTCCTGGAGGCCCTCTTGGGAGCCTATTGGGCCGTCTTGGGCCATCCATCGTCGGCCGTTTTGGTGGGCTCCTGGCCCGTCTGACGCCGTCGGAAGCCGTTTGGGGGGCCACTCTGGGCCGACTTGGGGCCCTCTTGGAATGCTCCAGGGCCGTCTTGGAGGCCATCTTGGTTAAAAGCCTCCTGGGCCGTCTTGGGGGGCCTCTTGGGGCCGTCTTGATGGCCTCTTGGGCCGTTCTGGGGCCATCTTGGAGGCCTCATGGGTGATCTTTGGGCGATCTTCGGGGCTCTTGGGCCGTCTCGGGCCGTCGGAAGACCGAAAAGAAGCAAATGTCAAAATCCTTCAAAACCTCGGGAAGATCAATGTTTTTTGTTTTTTTTTTTCTGGCCTTCTGGAGGCCCTCTTGGAGACCTCTTGGGCCAGCTCCGAGCCAACTTCGGCCATCTTGGTGGGCTCCTGGCTCGTTTGACGCCGTCGGAAGCCGTTTGGGGCGCCTCTCTGGGCCGACTTGGGGCCCTCTTGGGGTGTTCCAGGGCAGTCTTAGAGGCCATCTTGGGCGTCTTGGAGGCCTCTTGGGTCGTCTTTGTGCCCTCATGGGGCCGTCTTGGGGGCCTCTTGGGCAGTCCTGGGGCCATATTGGAGGCCTCTTTGGCGCTCTGGGGGCGATCTTGGGGGCCTCTTGGGCCGTCTTAGGTCGTTGGAAAGCTGAAAAGGAGCAAATACGAACAACTTTTAAACACCTAAGGACAAACAATGATTTTGGCATCTTCGGGCCCTCCTGGGGGACCTCTCGGAGGCGGGTTGGGCGCCTCTTGGGTGCCTCTTGGGGCCTCGTGGGGTATCTGTTGGGTTTCTTGGAGGTTTCTTGGGCGCGGCTTGGGCGCCTCTGGGTGCCTCTTGTAGGAGATCGTGGCTTTGGGGGCGCGAATACGGTGCGATTTGCCAGGGATCGTGGCTTCGGGGGCACGAGTGTAGGGAATGTATGCGGGATCGTGGCCTCGAGGGCGCGAACGTGGTGTAACTTATTGAAGATCGTGGACTCGGGGGCGCGAACGCAGTGTAATTTACCAGGGATCGTAGCCTCGGGGGCGCGACTGTTGCGTAATTGACGGGGGATCGTCGCCCCAGATGCGAGAATCCTGGGCAATTTGCGATGGGTCGTGGCCTCCGTCAATACGATGTATTTTACGAGGGATCGTGGCTTCGGGGACGCGAAAACAGTGTAATTTACAAGTGATCTTGGCCTCGGGGGCGCGAGTTCATAATTTTCAATAGATTATTGCGTCGGGAGCGCGAATCTCATGTATTTTTACATGTCCCACGGCCGCCTCAGAAACTCAGAGCACGCGATTCGGGGACGCTAGCCAGGGTCCTTTTCGGCTCCCCCCTTGCGCGGACAGTAACATTTTACAGTAAGAAGTAGAAAGCACTATTGTAACCCTGGAAACGGGAAACTGGGATTGGGAAGTGGTGCAGGGAGCAGCAAACCTAAGCCTCGCAGCCTGATGGCCCCGCAAGGGGGCCAGCGGGTTTTAGAAGGGTCAAAAGCAGTAGGGACAGGGACACTTGCTGCAGGTGCATGAGACCACACCGCCCAGACCCAGGATCCCTAGTGCGAGGACGGGGATCTAAGTGAGGCCACGTCTTACTTCCCCCTCGGGCTCGCTGCCGAATAACCTTCGAGGAGGGGGGGATACTGATTATGATGATGACGCTGCTGATGATGATGCTGATGACGATGATGGTGGTGATGATAATGATGATTATGATGATGCTGATGATGATGCTGGCTGCTGCTGATGACGATGATGCTGATGATGATGCTGCTGCCAATGATTATGATGACGATGAGGATGATGATGAGGACGAATCTGAAGCTGATTATGGTGATGATGGCTGCTGCTGGTGATTATGATAGCGATGAGGATGATGAGGACGAATATGCTGATGTTGATGATGACGATGATGATGATGATGATGATGGTGATGCTGATGATGATGACGATGCTGCTGCTGATGATGGTCGTGATGATGCTGATGATGCTGATTATGATAGTGGTGATGATACTGATGATGGTTATGATGCTGATGATGATGCTGGCTGCTGCTGCTGATGATGATGCTGACGATGATGATGGATGCTGCTGATGATTATAATCACGATGAGGATGATGACGATGAGGAAGAACATGATGATGATGATGATGGTGATGCTGCTGCTGCTGATGATGATGATGACGATGTTGTTGATGATAATGGTCGTAATGATGATGATGATGATGATGATGATGATGATGATGATGATGATGATGATGATGATGATGATGATGATGATGATGATGGTGATGATGCTGATGCTGCTGATGATGATGATGATGATGATGACGAGCGTGATGCTAATGATGATGATGATGATGCTGATGATGCTGCTGCTGCTGCTGATGATGATGATGATGATGATGATGATGATGATGATGATGATGATGAAAAGGAGGAGGATGATGATGAGGAGGAGGGAGAAGGAGGAGGAGGAGGAGAAGGAGGAGAAGGAGGGGGAGGAGGTGGAGGAGGAGGAGAAGGACTTGAGTAAGCCCAAGACGTGTCAATCGTCCCGTCTGGGGTGGTAGCGCCCAGATCTCAGGGCCTCTCGGCTGCGGGCCCGGGCACTCCCCCGCGATGGCGCGGACGGCCGCCACGGGCCAGGCAAGCCCCGAGGGCTCCCGCCTGCCGAGCCGCTCCAGCAGCCTGGGGAGCCTCAGGCCCCAGCTGGGAGCAGGATCAAGAGGAGGGAGGGAGGAGGAGTAGGAGGAGGGGCAGCAGGAGGAGGAGGAGGAGGAGGAGGAGGAGGACAACTGTAAGCCCAAGGGTCATCAACGATGTTGGAATAACCCCCCCTCCAAGCTCCCTCTTCATAGGCCCCTACACCGGTTCATTTCCATTGAGGGAAGCGCCTCGTTGGAAGACAACCGTCTGAAGACCCTGAAACATGCCAACATTGTTCTCGGGATCCCAACTCCACGGATCAACCTGGCAGTTGCGTCTTGACGACCCTGAATCGTGCCAGAACCCCACTCTTGGGATTTCAACACCGCGGACCAACGCAATTTCTGCATTGCAAAGTCCTGCATCCTTCCAAAACAGCATTCCTGGTACGCTGATCAGAGGAATCCGGAAACTCCTGCAGGCGAGGGCTACATTTTGAAAAAGACTCGCCCTCGAGCCGCGAAGCTCTGGCAAGTTCTAAAACGAATGTGCGCTGCGCTGAGGCGAGAGCCACATTTTGAAAACGACCCGCCCTCCACCTGTGAAGCTCTCGCTGAGGCGGGAACCGCATTTTGAAAACCACTCGCCGTCAATCCGTGAAGCTCTTCCACATTTCTAGAAACGAATGTGCGCAGCGCTAAGGCGGGAACCACATTTTGAAAACCTTTCGCTCTCAAGCCGTGAAGCTCTTGCATCTGTTAAAACGAATGTGCGCGGCGCAAAGGTGGGAGGCACATTTTGAAAACCACCCGCCCTCCATCTGCGGAGCTGTTGCCAATGTGTGAGTTTCAGAGTCAGAGGTGGGAGTGGGCCGCTGTCCAAGGAAGAAACCGCCGCGCTGAACGACCCGGATACCATCATAAGCTTCACGCAAGACAATGTCAGGCATGCTGGGGCGAACGCTTGGGCACGATATGAGCACTGCAAGAACGCGACAACGATAAACAAAAACGACTTCTGGGGGTAACAATCGAACAGCTTTTTGGGTTGATTGGACAGGTCATTTCGACATGAGAGAGGATACCTCACGATCCACGATGCTTCCATGGAGTACCCTTCTACCACACGGCTTACAGAGTTCGGACACCGAACGGAGGAACCCGGAAGGCCAAAGCAAACATTCACGCACCCGCTTACGCGCTGCAAAACAACGAAGGGAGCGAGATCACGGTAGAGAATATCGAAATGCATGCTGCCTCTATATCTGCCCTTCGTGGTCTGCTACGCGAGGAGTACCAGAATCAGGAGGAGAGGTTGGTGCAACACTTCGACGCCAAACTCGGCGAAGTCAACGCAAAGGTGGGCGAAGTCACGAACGATTTGGCTGCGGAGAGGGAGGCGCGGAAGACATTCGAGGGGAAGGTGGCCGGTTTGGAAGAGAAGCTCGACGAAAAACACAGGCAGCCGCAAACGTTTCACATTTGTGATGACGAGGAGGGCTTGTGCACGCGTGCGGCCGTCATCGGAGGTTATGGCGAGTTGTCCGACGATGATGCCACGGCCCTCATTGCAGCTGCACTGGGCGACACTCCAGGCATCGAGGAAGTGTATGCAAACAACCCTTTACCTCCAGTGGTGTTTGTAAAGTTCCACGATAAAATCTCCATGATGAAGTTTTTGCGCAAGCAGGACAGCATCAACACCTGCACTGAGCAGAGCTTGTGGGCCTCCGCAGACATGCCGTTTGAAGTGCGACGCCGATCGAAACTAGCCAGCAATATCAAGAAGTATTTGGTTGAGCCTCACTTGTGCGAGTCTGGCGACGTGAAGGCTGATTACCGCAAATTCACAGTCCGTACAAAAGCGTTCGCACATTTGTTCTTCTAGCTTCAGTTGGCGAGGGCGGTACTCCGGCGTGGGGGGCTAACGAGAGCAAGATCTCACACTTGGTACGCGACGCCGTGGAGGAGGATATCGAGGAGGACTTGTAGGAGCTTCGGCGGGAGGCGGCCCAAGGCAGCAGCCTTAGAATACCTCCTCGGACGCGCACGAAGAATCTGCAGAGCATTTGCGAGGAAACTCGACACGAAGATTTCCACAGCGAGCTTTCGAGTTTGATGTGTGACAGTTGGTTCATTACAGAAACATGGCGACCGGACAGGGAGGACACCGTGGAAACGAGCACTGGTGACTTCAAATTTCCCTCTAGTGGTTCGTCGCACCATGGTGTCGGCATTGCTGTGTCGCCCAGGTTCCGGATGTGAGTCTCAAATGTGGAATTCCATGTTTTCAATCCACGGGGTCGGTCACTGGATTCCTTCTTCGCGGGGAAAGTTGTCAGGGCGATTGCTGTCTATTTCCGATTTCTTGGCGCGACGACGACGACGCGCGTGGTGCATGCGACCTTTTGCCGCTGCTTCTGGAAGGGGGCGGGGGGGCCAGTGAGTTGATAGTTCTCGGTGGCGACTTCAATGCGCGTGTTGGCGTGCTCACGATTGGAGACGATGAGGCAGTGTCTGGCGCCGCCGACAGTGGCGCCCGCAGCGACCGGGGCCGATTTCTGGCGCAATGGCATCTCCAACGCGGGCCTTCGATCTACAGCCGCTTTGGGCCAATACCTCCAGCGAGTTCTTGGGCATGCAAGCGTAGTTTCGACGGCGCTCTTGCCCGGCTGGATCGCATCGTCGCCGGCCCTAGTTTCGCCCGCGGCACTTCCAAGATCGATCGAGCAACGGGCGTCGGATTGGATCGTCGAACAGCGCGCTGCGAACTATCCTTCGCTGGCCGACGTGCCAATCGCAAGCGGAAAAAAAACGGGGGCATGAAGGGGTGGCGGCCCTTTCTGGGCGCCCGCGGAGAGCCGTTGAAGTTTCGGGCGGCGTCGAGCGACCCAGCTTTACTTCGGCATGTCTCGTCGTTCAGCTTCGCGGAAAACGCGCTCTGCACAGCGGGGCCCAAACGCGGGGGCGCTTGTTCGACGACGTTTCGGCTCCAGCCCTCTCTTGCCCTCGCGTCTTCGAAGTTCGCTCGACGCCGCGCGGGCGGGCAGGAAGAGAGGGGGGATCTTAGTTTTCAAGGTCCGCCGTGCGACGCGGAAGGGAGGGCGCAGATTTCCGCTCGCGCTGGCCAGTCGTCGAAATGGAAAGAATTTCGGGAGATGGTGAACACTCCCTCAAGTAGGAAGAGGGCAGTTCAATCGGGCCCGGATGAGATTTGGCCATGCGCGAGATCTTCAGCGGCACTCACCAACGCGCATTAACGAGTTTCTTCATTGCGGGGCCCAGTTCTGACGAAGGCGACCCGGGCGTCGCCATTGGCCGGGCGACGAAAAACAAGGATGAAGATGCGAATCGTCCCGTCGCAGAGCCTTTGCATCATAGCCCGCCGCATTTCCGCGCTAGTGTCTCGGGATTGCGCAGCCAGGCGCTCGCGCGCGGCGTCGCCCTGGGCGGGTGGGGGCGCGCAGTTTTCAAGATGCTGGAGAACGGCCAGTGCTGAATCAGTTTCGGATTTTAGGTCGATTGCACGTCTGCAGCGGTTCTGCAAGTTGTTCCCCCGCCTGGTTCTGGGCAGAGTTGAAGATGCCGTGGGCAGCGCGCAACTAGGAGTGCAACGCGGTTCCCGGCCTGGTCGTCGCCTCAAGGAGCACGCGTGCGTTGTCTTCCAGAAAACGCTCGCCGTGGAAATGCCAATTTGGATCGCCAGCTTGGACTCGTCGAAGGCGTCTGACAAGGTGGCGCGGGGGCCACCGCGGCAAGCGCTCCACGAAGAGTATCCGAGCACCTGGCATGGCCCATTCGACAACTCTATGCAGATCAAGTTGGCATCGTCGCGGGCGGGGGCACCCGCGGCGGTGACTTCCCGATTTCCGCAGGCGCCCGCCAAGGGCGCGCGCTGAGTGCAAAGCTGTTCGCGTCCGCCATGGAGCGGGCAATGTCGCGCTGGAAGCAGAAAGTTGGACATCTGGGAATAGGGCCTGCAGTTGGCGGAGAGCTTTAGCCGAACTTGCGATTCGCCGGCGACTTGCTTTTTTCCACTTATTCGGAAATGGAGGTGTGCTTCTTATTTGTCACGCTCGCGCTGGCGCTGCTGAAGGTCGGGCTTCTTCTCGGCGCCAAGGGGACCTAGGCGTGGGTCACTATGGCACAAGCTCCCTCCGCGATCCGCACGTCGGAAGGGTGGGCAATAGACGCGATCCCCGGAGATCCGACTTACAAACGGTCGGGTTGCATGTTGCCCACAGGGGGAGTGGACTCCCGCGCTCTGGAGCTGAATCGCCGCCTGCAAAGTGCAGCCAAGGAATCTTATGCGAATCGCAGTATTCTGTGCGACTGGCGAGCATCGATCACGCAGATATTGAAATTGCCAAGACCGTCGCGACGGCAGTGGCGTGTTTTGCAGCAGGACGTCGCCCGATACATGCAGACGACTTGAAAGCAATGGATATCGAATTTCGACGCCTCGTGCGACAGATCGCTGGACCACCTCCGGGCGTTGATTGGGATGCACCGTGGCATGATGTACTGCATGTGTGGCACGAGCGCGCGTGCAATTTCATCGCGCGCGCTGGCATTCGCACATGAGCATAATAATGCGTTCACCAGTCTTGCTTGTTTGCATCATATATTCAACAGTTACCGGAGACGAAATACATCGTGAGAGTTCTGAATTGGTCACCGCGCGGTCGTCGTGGAACAGGGCGGCCGGCTCTGACGTGGACAAGTAAACTGGAAGTTTTCGGCCGCGTGGTAGGCTTTCAATGGCGTTCTTGGTCTCCATATGTTTTTTCCAAAGACGAGCCATGGACTTTCATATTTGTTGCCGCCGTTCTCAATGAGTACGCCAAGTGAATGACTCCCCCCCTTTTAGACGCACGTGCTGTTTTCCTTGGATCATAACGCACGCGTGTATACCGCGCTGCCGACTGCCACCGCCTGCGCCCTTCATGGGCTCGCCTTCCGGCGCGCGGGCTTGACTTCGACCAGAGTTACAAGTGGTGAGGAAGTCTCACGCGAAACGCCTGGCCTGCCGTTAAAACTGGCGTCGGGATGCGACCGGTATACGTTATTCATAAGGATCAGGAGTGGAAGAGAAGGGAGAAGAAACACTCCTTGCGAGCAGGACGAGGAGGCAGAGGAGGAGGAGGAGGAGAGGAAGCCGGAGGAGGAGCAGGAGGAGAAGGAGGAGGAAAAGGGAACATGAGGAAAAGCAAGGAGGAGGAGGAGGAGGAGGAGGAGGAGGAGGAGGAGGAGGAGGAGGAGGAGGAGGAGGAGGAGGAGGAGGAGGAGGAGAGGAGGGAGGTAGAGGAGTAGGAGGATGATGAGGGGGAGGAGGGGGAGGAGGAGGAGAGGAGGAGGAGGAAGGAGGAGGAGGGAGGAGGATGCGGAGGAGGAGGAGGAGGAGGAGGAGGAGGAGACGGTCGAAAACGAGGAGGACGATGAAGGATGAAGGATGGAGGATGGAAAAGGAGGATGATGAGGAGGGAAGAGGATGACGGTGAGGAGGGAAGAGGAGGAGGAAGAGGTGGAGGAGGACGAGGAGGAAGAGCAGCAGAAGGAGGAGGAGGAGGAGGTGGAGGTGGAGGAGGATGGACGATGAAGGATGCAGGATGGAGGATTGAGGATGGAGGGTGAATGATGAGGAGGGAGGAGCATGAGGAGGACGAGGTGGAGGAGGCAGAGGAGAAGAAGGAGGAGGCGGCGGAGGAGGAGGTGGAGCAGGAGGAGGAGGAGCAACAGGAGGTTTGGAGGAGTCCTTGGGAGCCTCGAGGCCGCACGCCCGCGCGAGCGCCGGGCCCACGGCGGAGCCGCGGGCGCCCGCGGCCGCCGGCGGGCGCTGCGCGAGCACGGGGGGCCCGGCTGGACCTGCGCCCGGCGCCGTGGCGGTCCCCGCGATGCGGGGTCTGCGCCCCGCGCTGTGGCAGGCTTCCCTCCGCCCCCCGCCCCCCTTCATCGTCCTCTCCTCGTTTTCGACCGTCCTCCTCCTCCTCCTCCTCCTCCTCCTCCTCCGCATCCTCCTCCTCCGCATCCTCCTCCTCCTCCTCCTCCTCTCCTCCTCCCCCTCCTCCCCCTCATCATCCTCCTACTCCTCTACCTCCTCCTCCTCCTCCTCTCCTCCTCCTCCTCCTCGTCCTCCTCCTCCTCCTCCTCCCCCTCCCCCTCCTCCTCCTCCTCCTCCTCCTCTTCCTCCTCTTCCTCCTCGTTCGTTTCCTCCTCGTCCTCCTCGTCCTCCTCCTCCTCTTCCTCCTCCCGTAGCCATTTTGGTTCAAGGTGATTTGCCCGTGGCAGAGCACAGATACCGTTAGTCCGCGGCCAGTCTCCAACCATTTTGTGCGAGTGAGCTCCTGGCGGAGCAAGATCTGACATCATATCCAGACTTGTGATTTCGCTGTGGCTTCCGGCTCTGGCGGCAAAGCTGTCATGGGGGTCGCTGGCGCCGCGTCGGTAGACGCTCTGTTCCCGCTGCATCAGGCGCCAGTGCAGCTTCGACCAAATATCCACTTCATGCCCAAGACCCCTGGCGACCACCCATCGACGGGAACGCCGCCAACCACATTCAGAGTGGCATTGCCGTCCTCGAGCAGCGCACCCAGGCCTCCCTCAAAAAGCAGATGGACGACGCTTCTAGCGCCATCCAGGCGACGGTTACAGTTTCCTTCAGCTCAATTTCGGCAGATATCGACGCCAAGATCAAGCCCCAAGAAGATCGGATTGATAAGCACCAGTGGGACATCGAGATGCTCAACTCCCCACAAACAGGTTGGCCAACGAGAACATTCAGATGCCGGAGCAAATCAAAACCATGCAGCAAACGCTGGCGCAGGTGGATGATCCCGGCCGCAGCGACGCGCCAGACCTTCTTCGCATCGCCAGCTGGGACCGCGCCCCTGACCCGCAGCTGTTCGTGGCCAGCTGCAGCAAGACTTGCACCCCGCAGGCTCTTTTGGCGGCCCTGGCTGCAGGCTGCGGCGATGGAGTCTCCTAACATCGCCATCGGCGAGAAGGAACCCCCCAAGCGGTTCCATGTATAGTTCCCTGGCGCAGCGGAGGGCAAGGCGCGAGCGTTCCAGCTTGCAGAGCACCTCAAGCTGCAGAGTGGGAAGTTGAGAGAGTTCACAGTGCAAGCGGCTGATGGCATGCATGAGAGGCTCTAGGTCAACCTTGACAAAAACCCGAGGGCGATCAGGCTGGATATCCAGACTAAGAAGTTGCTGGGCCTTTGCCAACAGGCAAAAGCAGGTAATTGGAGGATGCGTCGCAAAATGGGCCTCACCCATTGTGGCTCGACTCCAGTGGCAGAGGTCGTCGCGATTTGTATGGTCGAGGCGTCGAAGGTCACTTGGAACCCAGAGGCGCAGGCAGCTTTTCCGCGCCTTGGATGCCGCCAGCTGGTCTTCGTCCTAAACCCGCGGTGGGCGCCATGGCTGCTAGCAACAGATCACACACCTTGCAGAGTTGTATTGTGGAATGCTCGGGGGTTGTTGTGCAAAGACCTTGGCAAACGTAATCAGAAAATTGTCAAGTTGAATGAATTGATGGGACAACGAGCTATCATCGTATTGCAAGAAGCACACGGGTACGGCATGACGTTGCAGAGCCTTCCCAATCGCACGACCAACCATTACAAGGCTTTCCTCGGTGGCGCCGACACCCCTGGGGCAGGTGGAGTCGCCATCCTCGTTCTTATCATTGATGACGCAGGCTTGGGGCAGCACGGGCGCCCTGTCACGGCCCCTATGGTGATTGTGAAAGGCACGGCGCAGACACTTGCGGTTTTGAACCCCGGGGCAGGAGCGGGAGTCCGCATTCGCAACATCCACGACTATGAGCTCAGTGACCTGGGCAGGCGGAAGGGGAACAAATGCTGGGAAGAGAACAGTAGGCGGGCGCATGCGGCCCCGCAATATAGACTATGCGCGGCGATGGGCTACCTGAACTTCAGGGGCAATTCGCGGGGGCCTCCTTCGCCCGAGAGCTAGGCAGGCACAGGGGCCATCGGGCGGACGCGCCAATCATGCTGAACCCTTCCGGAGTCAACTTATCGCCGCATCTCGGCGCGCGACGGAGATTGCCGCGCCTGCGCCGACGCGCGTTGCCAAGCGCGCGAACCGCGTGACCTGCGTCGATCGAATATCCATGTCGTTGCCCCCGCACTATATGCGCGAAACAAAGTGTTCTGTTGATCTGAAGCATGGCGCCCAGGATCAATCTCACGCGCCCGCGGCCGCGCGGCGATTGGGGTCGAGCCGGAGACGCGCGAGGGGGCGCATGAGAATGAGCAGGCCATCTTTTCTTTCCTCTTCACTTCTGAGGCCTATGCGAAACAGCTAGAGGCCAACCTAGAGACCTGTTCACTGAATTACATGACAGCACACGAGCAATGGGGGTGCGCGAAGAGGCAAATTACGCCGGCTGCCGAGATGGCCCGCAGCAATCTGATGAGAGCCAACGTCGGGGGCGGCGCCTCCGACGACCTTGGCGCGAAGGCCATGGCGCAGCGTGCAGTGGCCCGCGCGGTCCGGCGTCGATGCCCGCGGCTTGCTGCTCGCCCCGCCTCCAACACCGCCGCGGGCGCGAGGCGCTTCCGCGTCGCTGGCGGCGCAATGAGCGCCCAGAATGAAGAGGCGTTCGCGGCGGAGGTGCTCGCCTGCAACGCGGCGCGCTCTGAGCGGGCTGCGCGGCGAGCTGCCGGGGATTTTTCCAAGGGCGCCGCTGGGGGCACGGGCAGGTCAGAGAGAGAATGTCCCGGCGAGCGCTGCTTTGGAAGACCCGGGGCCGCCGTCTCATCCTGCGGAGAATCCAGCGCCCCCAGGAATGCCGCGGGGGCGCGGCGCTCCGAGGCGCTCAGAACATGTCGGAGGCCAGCCCAATAAGCTTTCATAGAAGAGCACCTCCCTCTCTCGGAGCCCCTGGACCCCCACCTCTCCCTGGGCTCGAAGACCTCCAGAAGGCTCTGAGGCGGGGTGGGTCCTCCTCCCCAGGGCCCGATAAGCTCGCGTGCAATGCGCGGTTCGCTCACCCTGCCCTCTCCGTCGACCCCCCCCGGCCTTTCCATCCCCCTTCTTCTCGCCCCTCCCCCCCCGGCGTTGAGCCGCGGCGTCTTCGCTTTCGTTTCCAGGGGCGAAGCGGAGTTATGCCCGGTTGACTGTGCGAGGCAGCCAGGACAATTGAGACCGCTTGGCATGACATTCTGCGACGCCAGAGCGATGGTCACCATAGTTAATCGCAGATTGACGACGGTGGCCGAGTCCCGCGCCCACACTGTCCAGCAAGGGTCCGTCAATGGACGCAACTTTTCTCGCCGCATAGCGCGCCTGGATGCGTTGCGCAGGATCGCTGGCATAGGAGCTGATGCAAATGATCGAAGGCCGTTTTGTCAGTTTTGATTCGGATTCAGCCTTCTCAAGCGTGGGCCAGACTTGGCTAGCAACAGTTCTCGAGAGGTTTCAGGTTCCTGCTCGCTGCAGACATGCTATTCGAGCGCAAATGTGCAATGCTGCAAGCTTCCTCAGAGTTGGCTCGGAGATTCGAGAATTCTTTTTTCCCCCAACCATCCTGTGGTGTTGGGTCCTCGTTTTGAAGAGACGGTGGCCCGCGTCTCCTCTCCTCCTCCTCTCCTCTTCCTCTCCTCCTCCTCCTCCTCCTTCTCCTCCTCCTCCTCCTCCTCCTCCTCCTCCTCCCACCATCATCATCGTCATCGCCCATTTCGGCGCGCCCCTCGCACGCTTCGCGGCCCCATAGGGAGCTCTACCGAAGGTCCCAGTGGGTGTGCCCGCATGCGTCCCGCACGCCCATTTCGGTGCACCCCTCGCACGTTTCGTGGCCCCATAGGGGGGCTCTACCGAACGTCCATGGGTGTGCCCGCATGCGTCCCGCACACACATTTCGGCAAACCCCTCGCAAGTTTCGCGCCCCCATAGGGAGCTCCACCGAAGGTCCGAGTGGGTGTGCCCGCATGCGTCCCGCACACCCATTTCGGCACACCCCTCGCACGTTTCGTGGCCCCATAGGGAGCTCCACCGAAGGTCCCAGTGGGTGTGCCCGCATGCGTCCCGCACACCCATGTCGGCACACCCCTCGCAAATAGGGAGCTCCCCCGAAGGTGGCGGGTGTGCCCGCATGCGTCCCGCGCACCCATTTCGGCACACCCTCGCACGCTTCGTGGCCCCATAGGGAGCTCCACCTCCCAGTGGGTGTCCCCCGCATGCGTCCCGCGCCCATTTCGGCACACCCCTCGCACGTTTCGTGGCCCCATTGAGAGCTCCACCGAAAGTCCCAGTGGGTGTGCCCGCATGCGTCCCGCACGCACATTTCGGCACACCCCTCGCACGTTTCGGGGCCCCATTAGCAGCCCCCACCAGAGGTCCCAGTGGGTGTGCCCGCATGCGTCCCGCACATACATGTCGGCACACTCCTCGCACGTTTCGTGGCCCCATAGGGAGCTCCACCGAAGGTCGCAGTGGGTGTGCCCGCATGCGTCCCGCACACCCATTTTGACATGAACTTCACGCGCTTCGTGGCCCCTTGGGAGCTCCACCGAAGGTCCGAGTGGGCGTGCCCGCATGCGTCCCGCACGCCCATTTCGGCACACCCCTCGCATGTTTCGTGGCCCCAGAGGGAGCTCCACCGAAGGTCGCAGTGGGTGTGCCCGCATGCGTCCCGCACACCCATTTTGGCACACCTTTCACGCGCTTCGTGGCCCCATAGGGAGCTCCACCGAAGGTCGCAGTGGGTGTGCCCGCATGCGTCCCGCACACCCATGTCGGCGCACCCTTCGCACGCTTCGTGGCCCCATAGGGAGCTCCACCGAAAGTCCCAGTGGGTTTGCCCGCATGCGCCCCGTATACCCATTTCGGTACACCCCTCGCACGTTTCGTGGCCCCGTAGGGAGCTCCACCGAAGGTCCGAGTGGGTGTGCCCGCAT